AGAAAGAAAGAAAGAAAGAAAGAAAGAAAGAAAGAAAGAAAGAAAGAAAGAAAGGTAAGACAGAGATCCCAAATGACCTGGATTATTCCAACTAGACAATAGATATTGCACTGGACTTGCGCCTTTAAGGGTCCTAGTAATGCTGAAACCAAGGCTATGAAATGAATGAGCTGAAGAAATCTGGTATCCATTCATTTGCTTCAGGGGTCTTTCCTCTTCAAACTAGGACTACTCCCAAAGACCCTACAAGAACAATCCAATCTAATACTCAAAAAACCTTCCCATTACTTAAATACTAACTAACCTCTCTGCTTTAAAAAAAAAAAAAAAAGCAAAAAAGAAGGGATTAGGGAGATTATTAAATTGACAAAGGCAACCACAATCCCAGCATCAACAAGCCAGAAACTAGAGGATCCCTGATGCTTACTATCCAGCAAGCCTATCCAGATCCATAAGCCTCAACTTCAATGAAAGTCCTTATCCCAAAAGGTAAAATGTTGCAATGACTAAGGAAAACATCTGACACTGACCTATGACCTCCACATATATATGCACAAACACATGGCACATGCAAATGCACACACATAAAAACAAACAATGACTTGTATCAAGGCACAGAAACAGGAATATTCAGAACGTAATTAAGCAAATGGAGATGTTTATCAAGATCAGAGTACAGAATACAGACAAGTTAGAGAACAACTGTTTTATCACTTTGTAGTAAGGACCAGTGTTCAAGAATCAGGAACAGAAGAGCAGGGAATGAAGCTTGGTTGGTAGGAGTGCCTAGTATGCAAGAGGCCCTGGGTTCAATCCCTAGCACTGCTTAAACCAGTAACAGTAATATATGCTTCTTTCCTAGTGCTGGGGAGGTGGAGGCAGGAGGACCAGGGGTTCTTCTCAGCTACAGGGTGAGTTCAAGGCTAACATGGGCTAACATGTCTCAAAAGAATCCTAACAGAAGCTGAATTTAGAAAGGAATCCCAGAACCATAAATTAAATAAAGGAAGCGAGAAAGGAAGAAAACTAAGAAGATTGTGGTAGAAGCTTTACCTGTCTCTTCACAGCAGCTTAACAGCAACAAAGGGAAATACATCGTAACTCTATAGAGAATCATACAACACGTCACTAATAAGGTACAAACATACCCACACCTGTAGAGGTGACAAGCTATCACTTACACTGCATTTTGGCCCTAGGCATGTACAGCCTAACAAAAGAGAGAAAACATTAAACAACCCCCAGTGCAGGGAGCAGATGGAAATGTTCTACTTTTGGAATGGGGGAGGGGAAAGCTGTGTTTTTCAAAGAAATATTCATCATGAAAGACAAGGGCTGAGGAACTACTACATATTAAAGGAATCTAAACATAAGACAACCAAAACTAGTTCTAACTGGCTCCAGATGAGAAGTAAGTACTAGGAAGAACACCATTGAGTCAGTGGGGTGGTTAGAATAAGAATGGCCCCCGCAGGCTCATATATTTGAATGCTTACTCATTGGGAAAGGGCACTGTTTGAGAAGGATTAGAAGGATTAGGAGGTGTAATCTTGCTGGAGAACGTGGTCACTGAGGGTGGGCTTTGAGGTTTGAAAAGCATGCCAGGCCCAGTTTCTCCGCCTGCTGCAAGTGGATCAGGATGCAGCTCCCAGCTACTGCTCCAGCACCATTCTTGCCACCATGCTCCCTGCCATGATGATAATGGACTAAATCTCTAAATCTGTAAGTAGGTCCCCCAACGAAGTGCTTTCTCGTGTAAGAGCTGCAGTGGTCATGGTGTTTCTGCACAGCAATATAACAGTGACTGAGACAGTCAGCAGACAAATATGGAGAAGAGAAGTGTTGTTAATGTAAATACGCTGATGTGACAGCTATACTGGCTACACAAAGGGACGGCCAGGTCTCCCTACTTATTCTCAGCTACAACAGCAGTTCATGTGAACATACAAACAGCATATGTGGCTAAGCAACACAAATAGCATGTCAACACTAATGAAGGTACAGGAATGTTTGTCCTGTTTCTGTAACTTTTTCTCAGTTTGATATTGTTTCCAAAATGCTATAAGCAATGTCATGTTTTGAATCTGAAATGTCCCCTAAGGGCTCATATTTGGAACATAGTTCCCAGCTGGTGGCACTATGCTGGAGAGCTGTGAAGCCTTTCAGGGGTGGGGCCTAGAAGGTCCCTAAGGACAGGTTTCTGAAAGGGTTGGCCCAGGCCACTCTCTCTGCTGCTATAGAACAGCCATTACCTCACACTCCTGGCACCAGAGCCGAACTACCATGGTAGAGTATGGTAGACTAAGATCCTCCGAAAATGTGAGCTAAAATAAGACTTCCCTCCCTTGAGCTGTTGCTTTCAGGAATGTCGGTTGCAGTGATGTAAAAGTTGCCAGGATGTGGAGTGCCAGAGGTAGTTGCTGGGCACAGCCTTCAAGGCTCCACTGGGGAAAGTACCATCTTCCCCAGGCCAATGCACTGGGACACAAGCCTCCCCCTACGTACCTGCTGAGAGGGGAGAAAAGATGGCTGTGCTGACCCCACACCGCCAGCAGCAATCATAGCCAGGCAATAATGCATGCCTGTTGCTGGCAGCTGCTGGAATTGTTCAGGGTTGGGATGCAGAGGCAGGAAGCAGCACATGACAGCAAACTGTCTCATGAGCAGACTTATGGGAATATATGGGAGCCCTGATAAGAGCTGTTCTGATAACTCTGGATTCTAGTAAAGACTCTGTTCCAAACACATGAGGACCTCTCAAGAGTTGCCACCAAAGACCAGGCTCAGCCATGGGACTTTCTCATTCATTCCAAATGGTCACTGGGAGAGTCACTGTCACAGCAGTGTCACAGCAGTGTCACAGTAATGTCCAGCTCCAGCTCCAAGAGGGCAGGGCCCATACTTCATACCTCAGTCAATAGACACTTGAGCTTTTGTCCCATCAACTTTGATCAGCATCGCCAACTTTAAATAACCAACTCTACAGGCTCAATGAAGTATTCAAACAAAGTATTCTCCATAAAAAAAAGGTCAGGATGGGACATATGGTAGGGAGGTGGGCATGGGCTCTGCATACTGACCTGGAGAGTAGGAAGCAGGGAAAAATGTGTGGAATCCTTTTCTAGAACTATCAAGAATATATCCTCCACACTGGTGATCCCATTGGCCAGGAAATTATAATCTTATACTCATCATATGTATGTGAGACAGGGTCTTACTCTGTAGGCCAAAGTAGCTTTCAACTTGCAATCCCCCTGCCTCAGCCTCTCAAGTGGTAGGATCACAGGCATGTGCCACCACATGTGACTACGAATTAAAATCTTATAAACAACATAATGAAAATCCCCAAAAGGGAGTAACTTACCCTGGCAAGTTTCTCTGGTCTAGAAGAGACATGAAGCTGAGCAAATAGTTCTGTTATCTCCTTGGTAAAATCTTCATCCCCTAAAAACCAAGACCCAAATAAAATATTCAAGAAAGACTGTCAAGGATGCCGTGCTTTCTAGTTTTTCAAGTCAACTTGATACAAGCTGAGTCATCTGAGAGGAAAGCAGACTGTAGGAAAACCTGTAGAAGCCTGTCTTAATTAGTGATTGATGGGGTAAGGTCCAGCCAATTGCAGGCAGACACCACCTCTGGGATGGTGGTCCTGGGTTTTATAGCAGGCCTAGCAAGCCAGTAAGCAGCACTCCACCACGGCCTCTGCATCAGCTGCTACCTCCAGGTTTCTATCCCTGTTCGAGTTCTTGCCCTAATTCCCTCAGCAATGAGTTGTTATGTGAAAGTGTAAGCAAAATAAACCCTTTCCTCCCCAAGCTGCTTCTGGTCATGGTGTTTATCACAATGAAAACCCTCACTAGGATAGAGACACAAAGTATGTACGTAAACGGGGGTCATGATCATAGTACACTAGAGACATCCAAACAAACAGTAATGTCTCTTTCTTGTCTAAACCCTGACTACTGGCCCCCACTGAGGCCTAGCCCATGTGATACAGAGGCACAGAAATCTTAGAACATGAACATCTGTGAGGGTATTTCTTAATCATAAGCCCATGCTGCATGAGAACAAATTAGTTCTCCTTTATTCCTAGAATTTCCCCAGAAAAATTCCAGGGAAGCCATCTTGGTTCTTTTCTTTCAACTGTACTTTTGCCCTCTCTCTTGATAGTTAAGGCAGAGAATAAAAATTATTTACTGATCCCCAGTATTACAGGCTTTGGGAAAGGCTGTTCTCACTAACACAGCTCTCACTCACATAACTCATGTAAACAACTCCTAGTCACAATGTACAACAAAAGGGCACAAAACCTGACTTCCATAGTCATCTGGTTTTTCCCAACTAAGCCCTAAGTGTGACTGAATTCACCTGGGACACAGGAAGCCCAAGGAACACACAAAGTGGCACAGAGGAAAGAACAGGATTCGCCTAACAATTGTACTCTGAGGCATGCTTTAGGTTGTTAGTAACAGAACATTATGGCAGCGCATATATTAAATTTATAAGCATTCAAATATATTATGTTTGAGTGATCAAAAAGCTGTTACTATCAAAGGTAGTGATGAAAAACAATTGGCAATTGCTCTCAAGTTCCGCTACACAGAACCAACTTTACAAACAGTTGCTGCATTAGAACAGAAGTAGTTGCTGGGCTGGGCTGGGCGAGTAGCTCAATGGCCGAGCATGTGTCTAGATGTATGAATGAAAAGGAAGCTTGGTACTACTGATTAAGCGGTAGTTGTTGAGCGCAGCCTGCAAGACATCACTGCGGAGTGGCACAGGATGGGCAGGAGAGTCACGGGGGAGAGCTAGGGTACTGCGCTGAAAGCCATCACTGTGTCTTCAAACCCTCACCCCTAGCAAAGGTGAGGATCTTTAAAATCACAGACTGTTACATCTGTTCAGAAAACTTACAGCCCTCAGAACAATGGAGAAAACTGAAGATTTCTAATTACTGTGCAAAGCCCAGATGTTGATAAAATTGAACAAATACTCCTAACTGCTCCATGTACAAATAACCTAAACTAGGTTGACAAATTGTTGGCATTATATTAATATTTACTATGGATATATCTTTTAGTTAATCAGCAGTTATTCCTAAACCAGCTGTATACCTAAATCACCACACAGAGACTGGGATTTATTTAATTAACCTGGAGCACAATGCTGGGCGACAGTTACTCCATCCTAACCCTCCAAACCCGCATAGTTTCCTGCCATTTAGATTTCACCCATTATACTTGCTTTTAGTCATATTTTAGGTCCAGTCCATCTCTCCACATGGTTCCAAAACCTCTCCTCCAATCCTCTCTCTCCTCCCACTCGCTTCCTTCTCCCCCCTCTCCGGACCAGGATATCCCACCCTATCCTCTCCTTTACTCAGCGTTGGGGCTGGTTGTTTAATTGACAACACAGAGAACAAATGGTGGCATGTTTGCACAAACTTGAGACAGGTCATGCTTACAAGAAGCATCACAATGCACTGTCCTGACTGAAACCAGATAGTGGGGTAGGGAAATCGGCATTTGAAAGAACAAGGGTAAATTGTGTACATCCAAAAGAACATTATACCAACAAAAAATAAATGGGAACTGTCCTACCTTGGCCTGCTTAGGGGCAATGGAACAACTTAAACCAAAGCTGCTTCACTGCTTTCCTGCTGAGACTTTTAAAATGCATATTTTTATCTGTTTACTTATATTTTCTTAATAGTGAACGTTTGTTAGGTACCTACTATGTGTCTGACTACAAATATATTTAATTTACTACTCATAATACCACGAGAGGGCTTAGATCTTCTAAGCAAGATGAAACAAAGGTTCTGTGCTGAGCCACTTGTGGAGGTCACATGGCTTTGTGAGAGGCAGGTCTTCACTGGGATCCCCAGCCTAACTTTCAATTGTCCCTTTTGGGATACTAAACTGGTATCTCAGGACCTCCAGACAATTTTTAAGATGTACATTCAAAAACCATTTCTAATCAAGAGCTGAGCCTTTACATAAATTGTCACTAGTGAGATGTTACAGATGTTGGCCAGCCTGACTTCTCAGAACACAAACAGAACAGAAAACACCCCTGTCTTAAGTAAAACCCACACTCAACCTCTGTTTTTCTCCCACAGGAAAAGCCCTCAGACCCTGTCTCAGGGGATCTTTGCTTTGCTCTCAGTAGACTAAGTCATTTGGTTTCCCACTCATAGTAACTGGAAATGAAAAACATCACGTAGGCTGAAAGCTGTCTGGGGCAAGCTTTCCATACCCCATACTCAACAGAAGTAAAAGATAAACACACCGAAGGGAACAAAAACACACAGCTCTAAAGGGCAATCACAGAGAGTTTTCAAAGCACTACAGTTTGGCATAATTAATCCAGAAATTCTCAAATCATAAAACTCTGTGACCTCCCAGGAGCTTTTACCTTAAATGCAAGTTATACATGCTTAAAATTAAAACAATCTAAAGTATTTATTCATTAAAAATAGTGTACTGTAATCAGAAGAGTGTATGAGAAAAGAATCTATTTTCAAAGAAAGAACTGCAAATAATAATTTTTAAAATCCAGGCTGGGAAGAGGGCTCCATGGGTAAAGTGCTCGCTGTGCAAGGATAATGACTTGCACTCAGATCTGTAGCACTCACATAAAAAGCCCGCCATGACAGCTCATGTCTGTAATACCAATGCTGGAAGGAAGGCAGGGCCCTGCAGGGGAGGGTTCAAGACAACTGCTCGTGGGGAAAGGATGGAGATCCTGTGAAAAAGGGTAATCAGCCCAGAAAGTGACTTCAAGGGATGACTGCAGTCAACATGGGGGGCCCCTGCTTGCTGCAGAGCCTGCTTTACCTTGGCTCTCTTCCTCTTCCTCCTCACAGAACTCTGCTAGGGAAAATGCTTCTTTGAGCTGCTCTAGCTCAAGTCTGGTTGTCTGTAATTCTTCTCCACTCAGAGAACTAAGGATAGATTTCACCTAAAGGGATATGAGATAAAGAAAAATTAAAAAAAAAAAAAAAAATCTCAAATAAAGAAGAGTCCCCAGGTCAAATGAAATCTGACTTATAAACTAGCCAGTGTCAGCACACACGGTTCTGGAGATGAAGGGAAGAGCAGCATCTCACTATGTAGACCAGACTAGTTTTGAATTCTCAACTCTCCTGCCTCTGCCTCCTAAGAACTGGAATTACAGGCTTGCACCACCATGGCCAACTCCTATTCCTTAAAAATGTTATCTCTACAGCAAGAGATGCTCAGTGGTTAAGAGCACTGACTGCTCTTCCAGATGACCTGAGTTCAACTCCCAGCACCCACATGGAAGGAAACTCACAACTGGCTGTAACTACAATTCTAGGGGATCTGATATCCAAACACAGACATACATGCAGGCAAAACACCAAAGCACATTTAAAAAGTAACAAAAAAAAAAAAAAAAAAAACAAGAATTTTAACTCAAGAAGCTTATTCCTACAGAAAGATTGGGAGAATCTGTACTTCCCAATGTAACATTGGCTAGAGATAATCTGAAAATTATTAGTGCTTAACAGCAGCTTAGAAATAAAGGGAAATGAAACAGTCTCGAATCGGGATCGAGAGATGGCTCAGTAGCTAAGAGTGCTTGCTTGTCTTCAAAGGACCTGAGCTCAGATCTCAACACGCACACCACGCTGCTCACTATCACTCATAACCCCTGCTCCAGGGATCTAGTCTCCTCTCCTGGCATCCATGGGTACCTGCAGCACACTGAATACACACACACACACACAAATTAAAAAAAAAAAAAATCTTTAACCAGGTATGATGATGTCCACCCTTAACCCCAACACTAACAAGGCAAACATCAGATCTCAGTGAATTTGAGGCCAGCCTAGTCTACACAGCAAGTTCAGGACAATTAGGGCTACACAGTAAGGTACTGTCTCAACATAAAACAATATATTTTTAAAAAATTTTAGAAAAAAAAAACACTTGAACCAACTAAAACCCATCAGCTACCTGTATGCAAATTGGCAACTTAAATCAGTTTTTTTGGCAGCTAAACCCAGAGACTACAGGAATAAATAAATACAGAGAGATAGACAAGGGATAGAAAATGACAAATACAGTAAGAGCTCTTTTTTTAATCCTGTCCTCTCTATGTAATTAGGACAATCACCCTTGATCCTTTCCATCAGTTAGTTCATGCATTGGTTTCTGCTTGCTGTGGGGGGCACTTCCAAAAATCTCAAGCCTCCACCAAAAACACCTCACCTTCCAAATGCACAACAGAAAAGCATCTGCAGCCTCCCTCTGTATGCAGACTTTTTCAGGAGGGGCTTGGGGTTACAAATTACCTTTATTTCACTTTCTCGGGAAAGCATTTCCAGAGCTTCTAGATGTGAAAGGCCTTGAAACTCATCAAAGAGTAGCCCATAATGAGTTTTCTTGTCTGTTTCCATGGTTACCTCATTGGAGGGACACTGTTCTTCTTTATCCTTAGCCTCTCGTAAAACCTAAAATGAGATAGAAGCATTGCACTGCACCAGGTAATGAGTACTCAAGAGTGAGTTTACAGAGCAGATAGGAGCACAGCTGCTCAGGCTCCATTCAGAGCACGGCCCTTCAATCCTGGCATCACAGTTCAAATTCAAGCAGCTCAGGAACAGCAGGAAAAAGTTATCACACAGAATCTGATGCTAGACACTGTAAGTAACTCTCAAGATGCCAGATGCTGTTCTACACATGGTTTAAACATTAATCTAACAGCTCTGACAGGGCTTAGTATTTCTCTACCAACAGGAGGCTGCTGCAAAAGGTAAAGGAAACAGTACCTGTGACAATGTAGAATTCCGGATCATCAGGCCCTTGGTTCTTTTAAATCCAGGATCCCCTTCTGCTATAACATCCATTGTCTTCTTCCCAATGAATTCCAAGGCATCCAAACCCCCACTGATAACACTCTTACCCTAGAAAAGCCACAAAATCTCATTACAACGAATTTCCACAACATTCCATTACAACAAATTGACTATTTAGTAATGGCTATATAGTGTGGGGCTGTGATGCTGGCCTGAAGTCCTAGCTACTCTGGAGACTGAGGGAGGAGGATGTTCAGGTACAGCAAAGGTACATCCAGTAACCTGCAGGCCAGTGTGGGAAATGGTGAGAACTCTCCTCAAAATAAAAAGATGAAGGCAGACAGACTGTATTGCTAGTTCAGTGGTAGAATATTTGTCTGGCCTGTGTGAGACCTTAGGCTCAATCCCAGTACCAGTAGAAAAAAGAAGAAGAAAACAACAATATACCAAGTCCTGGGCAGCCTGTGGAGCAGCTGAAACAATCATGCAAATATTTGAATTTGCTCACACAAATGCACACAGATAGAACCACTTCGGAAAACTGTGGGTCAGTATCTACTGCAGCTGCTTTCCTAGCAACCCACTGGTGGTGACACACCCAAGAGAAAGGCATGCAGAGGTGCACAAGGAAACATGTAGAGCAACACTCTGTGACAGCTTACACTGGAGACTGGCGTGCTGCTTACTAACTGTAGCAGTGTAATAATGCATGAGCAAGTCACACTATGAATACCGCAAAGCTGCAGCACGGACACAGCACAGACACAATGTGTGAAAGACACTGGACGCACATCTAGGGCTCCATTCTATACAAAGCAGAAGAGCAGGTCAAAACTAACTCGTGACAGTAGTCCTGACAGTGGCTATCTGGGTTGAGGAAAGAACACATGCCTCAAAATAGGAAGGCAATGCACTTACAGGTATGGCTGAAAGTTAAAATGCTATTAAAGTCAACTGAACACAGATGCTATCATAGTCTACATGTATGCCATACTTCAAAAAGTTAAATGGGGTCATGCATGGTAAGGGGTGCCTGCAATCCTTACCCTTGGGAACAGAGGCAGGACTGCATGTTGTAGGCTATCTGGGCTACAAAGCAAGACCTCGTCTCAAACAAAAAAAGTTTAACCCTACCCCCATGTAGGAAAGACATTGAAAACCCTAAAATTCTCATCATCTATAGTTTAGCAAGTGTCCATCAAAAAGATCACGTCCCTTCTACTTAAAAGGTGAAGTTATAAGAGAAATACCTTTATGACCTCTAAGGGCACAAAACCAAGACTTGCAGGTCCCTAAAGCAATGTCACTCTGCAATTCACACTGCGCTTGTCTGGCTCCTACTTTAGCCATAAGAAGTGAGCGATCCTCAGTGACCTGGACTCCCTTAGGGGCAACAGTGCTCACGACATTCCAAGAAAGGGCAACAAGCACACGGACCAGCCTAAGCACACAGCAGGCTCATGCACTTTTCTCACCGTGCTCTGCACAGCTGTTGAGATGGTCGAGAGCATCCCGAACGGCCTGGCCACTGGTGAGCTTTCCTTCTCCCTGGCAATTGTTTCTCCTGAAACAGAGGTGTGTAAACGTGAAAGAATCATTAATTGCTTTCATAACAAATATATGTGGTTTTTAAAAAATTAGACATGGTTTCTCCACACAAGGCCTCAGGCCTTTCTGCATTTATTTTAAAATATCTGTCTAACGTAGGCAGCTGTTTTTTCATTGATTTCATTTTAATAATAAAATCAAGTCTCAAACAAATAAGACTGATACGAAATCAGATTACATACTGACTGAGCTCAGAAACCCAAACTTCTGGACAAAAGAAACTATTCACCATTGGAAAACAGACAAGTGACTGATCATGTATAAAAATTGCATGAACCTTTTCGGTTAATAAAATACTCTAATATTCCAGATCCAGGGTACATATCACAGTGTTCTACCGCTTACAAAAACAAAACTACCTCTCTAAATATGCAGATACAAAACTATACAGCTAAAAGTAAACTGCAATCACTTTGTCCTAGAAAATGATGTTGTCATCAAACAGAGGTGCCCATTACAATGGTGCCATGTCTCAAAAACAATCTGTTCCATTTTATTAACTTTAAAAATCCTGTAAAAGATCAACTTTCGGCTAAAGAGGTGTGATTATGTGTTCATGTGTGTGTTGTACGCACATATATGTACACACATGTGTACATATGTGGAAGCCAGAGACTAACCTTGAATGTTCTTCAGGAAAGCCTTTTTTAATGAGTTAAGCTGGGATAGTTGGCCATTGCCCCAGACAGCTTCCTAGCTCTGCCTCCTAGCTCTGCCTCCTCAACAATACTAGTACAGCTTTTCTCACAAGGGTGCCAGGGGTCAGGTCCTCATGCTACAGTAGGCAGTTTAGGCTGAGCTACCTAATAATCTGAGTATCCAATATCAAAAATTCTACTACAGGGGGCTTTTATTCCAATTACAACATACTAACTGCTGTTAGACTTTCTCTCCTAACATGGCAGCTACAAAACTACACAAGAGGTAAGAAATGATGCTTAGAGTCACACAAGAAATCCATCAGAAAAGAGAAACAAAGTGACTCCTGTGACTGGCCTGCTATCCAGAACTTTCCAACTGCCACACAAGGAAGGAAAGGCAGAGACAAGAGACAGCAAGAGTTGAGAGGACTCTGTAAGATGGAGAAGATGGAGGCATCTAGGAATTCTAAGCTCCTACAGAAACCTACATGCCTGAATACTGAATACTGAATATTCCCTGAATACTGCACTGCTTGGTATTCAGTATACAGGTACAAGGAGACTCCACAGGCTGGGGAGAAAAACTGCATTGGAGCAGTAAGCTAACCAATCCCCAGAGCTCACACCAGGCTAAGACATGTGACTGCCAACCTACTGAAGAGACTCATTAGGCACCTGGAAAGTGGACAGAGGCCACAGAAGAGCCAAGCCTTAAACTAACCCTCCAAGCAAAGGCTACTGTAGACTCAGTCTGTGTAAGCACACTAACATTTTTGGTTTTGTTTTGAGTAGGTCTCAGGTTCTGTACCCTCCTGCCTCTACTTCCTAACTGCTGGAATAACTACTGTGTGCCATTATACTCAGCTTAAAAACATTAAACGTTTCTACTTAAGCTGCACATACCATAACTACCTACAAACAAAAGCAAAGCAAAGGTGAACATGGTCATTTAAAGGAACACAGATCCATAAAAGATAACCAAATGAGCCTGGTGGTGGTAGCACAGGCCTTTAATCCCAGCACTCAGGAGGCTGAGATCTCTGAGGCCAGCCTGGGCTACAGAGTGAGTTTCAGGACAGCCAGGGCTACAAAGAGAAACCCTGTCTGGAGAGGAAAGGAGGAAAGGAGGGAGGGAGGGAGGGAGGGAGGGAGGGAGGGAGGGAGGGAGGGAAGGAGGGAAGGAGGGAAGGAGGGAAGGAGGGAAGGAGGGAGGGAGGGAAGAAAGGAAGGAGGGAAGGAGGGAGGGAGAGAAGGAAGGAGGGAAGGAGGGAAGGAGGGAGGGAGAGAAGGAAGGAGGGAAGGAGGGAAGGAAGGAGGGAGGGAAGGAGGGAAGGAAGGAAGGAGGGAGGGAGGGAGGGAGGGAGGGAAGGAAGGAAGGAAGGAAGGAAGGAAGGAAGGAAGGAAGGAAGGAAGGAAGGAACCAAATGAGTTACTAGGTAGCATGAGCCTTTCTCAAAGTTCTGGAAAGAGTCATCACCATGATGACAATACCCTTGGCAGTGGAATTAACACACACACAAGGGTGGGAACTTCTAAAAATGAAAAGGACTTATCAAAAAGCAGTATATTCTAATTTGGCAAAGTGCTATTAGTCTTATTGAACTACAATCTAAGCCCATATAACCTCAACTGAGTGAGAATTACTCTCACCCCTTGAGCCACAAATACTAAGCCTGGGCCCTGTTCTCCATTCTTCAGAGACATAAAAAGAACCATCATCCACTCTCCTGTCCTCACATTTTCATATCCACTGTGACACTTCCACATGTAATACATTAATTCTACAGCTTTTCTACCAGGGAGCTCGCCGTGGAGGACTTGAGTTTTTCAATGCATTTCTTGACCCGTGGCCCTGAGTGGCAGACAGCCTCCATGTTGCCAAGATAATCCAGTTGATACCTACAGCCACTTCTAACTCCCAAACATACTCTTACTTCAGGCCACTATAGCATCTGCTTAGGACTCCACTTGTTTTTTTAGATTTATTTTTATTTATGTGTATGTATATGTCTGTGTGGGTAGATGCTATGTGTGTGCAGGTGACCCTAAAGTCCAGAAAAAAAAGATAAGATCCCCTGGAGTTGGAATTATAGGTGACCTGCCTAACACCAGGCCTGGAAACCAAACTTCAGTCTTCTGGAAGTATAGGAAGTACTCTTGGGATTGACCCTTCTTTCCAGCCCCAAGAGCTCATTCTTAGTCAATGCCATTTGAGAATTATTCTAGGAATTATTGGAAGAATAAATTGACTCTTTTCAATGAAAGGTATGTAGGAAAAAAGACACTTTCTTTCTATTTCATTCCTGACTTTGAGCACATATTTTTTAGAATTCTATACTCCAGTTACAATATCACCTGGTGACCCTTAAGGAACCATGAGGAGAGCCAGGTGTAGGCTCAGGCCTGTGATCCCAGTTGGACTGTGTGAGCTCAAGGACAACCTGGCTAAGAAGGCAAGAGAAAGGGGGTGGGAGGAAAGAAAGAGGAGAATGGGGAAGAAAGGAGGAAGGGAGAAGGGAGAAGAGGAGATAGATAGGGAGAAGAAGGGAGGGAGAAGGCAAGCGAGGAAAGGGAAAGGGAGGTAAAGGGAGTGGAAGGAAGGGCAGGGGAGGGGAGGAGAGAGGAGGAAAGGAAAGGAGAGAGTATTACTATGAACAGTGCATCAAATACACACAATTTGAAGCCAGTGGGGCCATGTTTGTGTAACATGAGCTTGTGTCTTGGCTGTAACTAAACTTCAGCCAAGTGACCTAACATTATGCCAATCTGATTCTTATTCCAAGGAATTCATATATGGGAATAACTAGTGCCAGCTAGTTTCTGATGGTCATATATGCCACAATTCTATAAAGGTAAAGCCAAAAAGAGTCCGTTTAAAGGGAAAATGAGATAAACAAGCAAAGAAAAGCAACAGTAAGAAACAATAGGGCCTTGGGAGATAGAAACAGTAACCCTGGCCTTAAAACTCTCTTTTCTGGTCCCTGAGTCTCCTGACCCCTAGTGATAACTGTGTCCTTTGGGTTTGAGTGACTGTAGGTTTCCCTTTGATCCAGACAAACCAGAGTAAAACTCCACCTTCATAAAAAATCCAAGTAAAACAAGAAAGCTACCACACTGAAACCTTTTTGTCTTGCCACAGCATACTCAAACTTTGCTAATTCTTACTGGTGATAAACCTAACACTGACAAGTACAACGGTGAGCTCGTCTCACATTCTGTGCTCATGGCCTTAACTGCTAAATGTTTACCAGTCCTCTGAATCTCTTCACCCTCGCAAAAGTACAGTGAGAAGAGACCTGAATGGTTACAGAAGACATAGCTGGAGCTCAAGATTCCAAACCCTCTTTCTTGCCCAGTCTCAAGATCCCCCGGGTGTGAGGTACTGAATTAGTATCATTACTAAGTACTAGTACTGAAAAATAAACTAATGAACTAGCAGTGAAAATGAACTGAACTTTCCTTGTCAACCAAAACCCCAAGTGCACAGACTGACCTGCTGCTTGCTTGGCTTCAGCTGAAATTTCAGTAGGGCTGGGAATCCCAAGAGAAGTCTCTGCCTTCTCAATGACATTGGAAATACCTTGTCCTAACGAGAAAAACAATTAACACCTGTGTGCTCTGTACTGCACTAAAACTAAAGAAACAAACAATAATAAAATCTGCATAGTCCTAAAATCATGGTCACAAGACACGTTATTTGAATGATCTATGCATTCTTGTCATTATCTCCTTACCAAAAAGCAAAACAAAAATCCCAGACTTATCACCAAAACGTAACCTTAAATTAATCCCTAGATTTCAACATCCTAATAGAGCATGAGACAAGCTTCTGTGCACACAATAAAATAAGAAAATGCCCAATGGTCTTACCTACTGTAGCTACTGTAGCTGAGGCTGAGGAGAGTAGAGACTTGCCCCAGCTGCCCCAATAGCCCCATCCAGTCTGCGGTGCATCTTTAGAAACAGTCTCCTGTTGTTTTCCAGTGAGAAAGAAAACAGGAAAGTTAGAGGAGACTCAGAAGTGTACAGACAAGGGACCTAATCATTAGACAAGCTCAGGCGGGCAAAAGGTAAAAACTGCTTGATTGACAGATGGATGCCATCAGCACATGAATACCTGCAGCAAAAGCAATTACTGATAAAGGCACGTCTACAGCGCAGAAAGAAGGAAGCGCCCTATAAATCAGTACTAGTCCCACCTCCACTTCAGGTGTAACGTCAAACACCAGGTATAATGCTATGTTTCTACGCCTTATAGTTTTAGGTCCCAAAATTTTAACAGATATGCTACTTTGGCTACAGCCTGTGACACCTGAGCAGGAAGAACTTCGGAAGCCTCGAGGTCATTGGAAGGTTTGATTTCTGGTCTTTTCCGAGTGGACACTACAGGCTGAGATTTACTCTCCGGCTTCTCCGCTGGCTCACAGTTCCCATCGTTAAGGATCGGGGCTGCTTGGGTTACTGTTGGAGTCTCTGTAGCATCCTTATCTGACATGACTAGAACATCACCTGCTAAAACAAAAGCCCAACAAGAATCTACTGATACTGGCTTCTTTAGTATAAACTAGTTGCTCACTGTTTTTCAGACTTTCAGATTCATACACTAGTATAACAATACAAAAAGATGTTACTTTAGCTTTACAAAAAAAAAAAAAAGATCCTATATACCTTCCCCTACTTCCTCATCAGAAGCTGACATTGTTAAAATTCACCAGTGTCCTTCCAAGTTTACAGTTTTTACATGGGCCCATATATGCGTGCATTAGTTACAGAAAATGTTACCACATACACAGCTGTCCCTCAGTATCTGCAGGGCTCCTGCAGCCACTTCCCTGCAGACAACAAAATCCCAGTGGTCACATCCCGTCTATCAAACGGACAGTATTCATATATAACCAACGCACATTCTCGGGGTTTCATCACCTCTACTTCATTTGTAATATCTAACACCATGTGTACTGCTATGTAAATGATGTTAGACTGTCTTGAAAACAATGACAAGTCTACACATGTTCAGTACAGATGAGACTTTTTCCAACTGCTTTACTTTTATGATTGGTTAAGTCCACAAATGCTGAATCCCGGACAGAGGGCTAACTGCCTAACTCTCCTGACCATCAGTGCAGGTAAGGCACAAGTCAGTCCTAAGGATCCCTGTACCATCTTTTCTGTAGCCAGACACTTCTCACATTTCTTTCAACCTATAGCAACCAACTACTGATCTGTTCTCTGCCACTGACATTTTCATGTCCTGTACATTGAAGCATACAGATTACCTTTGAGTTTTTTCACTCAGGCTAAGTCCCTCCATTCCACTGTGGTTAGATCAAAAGTCCTTTTCAATTTCTCAGTGGCATCACTGTATATATACATCACAGTGCATTTGCCCATTCAAGGTAATCTGCAGTTTCCGACATGAGGATCCTGCCAACCAGTTTTTCAAACTTTCAAAGTTTACATGCAGGTATTTATGTGAACATAGCTTTTTCTCTGGAATAAATGAGGACTATATTAATAATATGGGTTATATGGTAAGTCCATGCTTAGTTTTATACATGTAACTGTCATCTTTTCCAGAGTAGTACAAATAACCAAAAATGTCTGCATTCTGATCAGACTTTTTTCCCTAATCTAAGCCAATTTTATAAGTACGTGGTGGTAGCTAACTGTGGCTTTATGTTGCCTTTCCTCAAGACTAAAGACATCTTTTCATGTGCTTATTTGCCATCTGAATATTCTCTTCAGAGGAATTTCTAGTTGTATCTTTTGCACATTTTTCTGCTAGATTGCTTTGTCATTTTGTTGCGTTTTGAGAGCCTTTAATATTCCAGGTTCAATATTATCCCAGTGTAAAGTTTATTTTCACTGTCTTACTTTGTTTTGCCTTTTGAGACAGGATGTGTTTGTTGGCCACTAGCTTAGAGCAATCATCCTGCCATAGACTTCCAAGTGCTAGAATTATAGACATTGAGTCACCACATCTGACTTTTCCATTATTTTCATGGGGTCTTTCACCAAGAAAGTTTTTCTTTTTGATGAAGCTCGTTTATCAGTCTTTCCTTTTACTAGCCTGTCCTTCAAAATTTTTTATCATTAGGCATCCATTCTTCACTTTTTTCAGAGATTGTTTAAATCATCATGTAACACCGTATAAGATAAGCTTTCTATTTTTTTAATATTCTTTGTAAATATTCCAAATACTATTTTGATATTTAGACCATCTGATATAACCAAAGCATAACTGAATTCCACTTTTTATTTCATTTACTCTGCTGTGCTTGGATCAAACCCGGGACCTCTTTCGTGCTAAGAGCTCTGCCACCTAAATACATTCACTGGTCCCTCACGTCAGCTTTGGAACAGCAATGTTACCCAATTCAATCCCTTCCAAGAGTACAGCTCTTTAACACCTAAAGCCAACATGTCACCGGTACTTCCTATAAGAGAAATACTAGCTTCCAGAATAAGATTATCACCAACAAACACATACACATGAAACACACACGCCCCCGGGTATGCTGACAAACATTTTATTCAGATATGCACTCAGTGCAGAATAAATCCAAGTCACGCTGTCATGCTTCTAATGCACTAAAAAAGAAATGAACAAGAAAGGCAGATAGGATATAGCACAATAATTGAAGCACATACAAAAAATACTTAAGTGGTGTTTGCTTTTAATCCCAGCACTTGGAAAGCAGAGGGATACCTCTGAGACTTCAAGGCCAGCCTGATCTACACAGTGAGTTTTAGGACAGAAAGAGCTACACAGTAAGATCCTGTCTCAACACACACACACACACCAACTTAAAGAACAAAGAAGACATTATAAGCATCAGAGAATGATTCATAAAGTACACCTAAAATAATCCTACAGCAGAGGTCACAAACTGGACATCTGCTAGCTAACTACAGTCTATAGATGTTTTTAATTGGTCTACACTGCTTAATCATTTTTTTAATTAGTTGCTTTAAAGTCTCATCTTGCATTGCCTGCCTTAAAGATACTTAAAAGATTTTGACAAATGAAAATGCCAGTGAAAGAAAGAATTCAATAGTGCGACAGTCAACCTCAATTGCCAAATTGATGAGCTTTAGTACCACCAGAGAGTCCCCTGAGCACATCTGTAACAGATGCGGGAAGACCCACCAACTGTGGGAGGCACAATTTCACAGGCTGCTGGTATCCTGGGCTGTAAGAGACGGAGAAAGAAGGCTGATCATGGGCACTCACGGCTCTCTGCTTCCTGACTGTGAATGCAATGTGACTAGTTTCCTATGTGACCTTGCTGCCACTGTGGACAAGTGAACTGTGACACAGAATCAGGCCACCCTTCCTTGGTTTTATCTGGGTATTTTATCACAGTAACAGGAAAGTAGCTACAATGAAGAGTTATGGAAACAACACAGAAGAAAGGCCGGTGTGATCCACGAGATAGTCACCTAGAGTAATGAATCTATTAGGGAGGCAGCAAAGGGAGGCAGAGGCTTGAAAGGTGGATTAACAGAACACACTGTGTTGCCTAGACTATGTGCCTAAAGTATGATATGCATATATTAAACAGTCCCAAAATTCATGGAGAAAACTAATCCATGTGAAAGTACCAATTCCCATGCAAAGCAACCCAGAAAAAACAAAACTCATTTACTTATTCATGGCATCTTTTGCATTCCCACTATGTACCCAGCTCTGGAAACAGAGAAGATAAGTAAGGTAATTTCTGCACCAGACAGTCCAAAGGCTGATCTAATAAAAAGACACCAACATGCTTGCACAAAGTTCAGGGGCTCTTGCAGCTGTATGAAAACTGTATTTTAAAACTACTTTTTTCACTGGGCATGGTGGCACTCACCTCTGATCCCAGCACTCAGGGGGCAGAGGCAGGTGGATCTCTGTGAGTATGAGGCCATCCTGGGCTACAAAGTGAGTCCAGGACACCCTGGGCTTGTTACACAGAAAAACTCTGCCTCCAAAAACAAAACAACAGCCAACTACCTTTTCCTTCTCCACGTTATGACATATGATAATAGCCCATAGATGTGCTGTATGTAAGGGAATATAAAATACATGGTGCATAAATTCATTTAATATTATGAAGGTAGAATGTTCCAAAATTAGCAAATGTGAGTTGTTTGTCCCTATTCTTTCACTTGCGCAACAAAGATTTTTAATAAGAATCAAGGGCATGCCTGGTGTTTAGGCTGAGCCAGGACACGATTTTTCTGTGTGCTGATGACCTTCTCCACCGTCATTTTGTTTTGTTTTGTTTTGTTTACAGGAATAAAATTAAACACATACCAGACATACGGAATTGTACTAATTAATGTTTTCCGCGTATTCTGTGGTCAATGTGTTTTCCTGAATGGGGGAGAAAGACTCAGAAGACTGGAGAAGTCGAACAAGGCGCCTCCATGCACGCAGTACACACGTGTCCCCACCGCATTTACCCCGAGTCAGCACAGCTGGTGTCCCCGACTAGCTGAGAGCAGGAGAGCCCGCGGTCAGCGAGAAATCCCCGGCCGTGAGCCCCGGCCGTGAGCCCCGGCCTAACGTGGCCAGTCCCCTGTCTCCACACGTCAACACGCAGATCCCGCCCCCGGGCTTGAGGTAAACAAGCTCTTCACCAGCCCCTTAGGCTGGGACACGAACTCCCAACAGAGCCAGAAGCGCTGCAGCCCCTCAACCCGTGACCCCGGCGACCCCAGCCTTCGCCACCCTCACCTGGAAGCCCCGCTGTCCCGACACCAGCCCTCACCGCGGCCGCCGCCGCCCGCTCGCCGCTCCGACCTCGCGGAAGTGCGCCTGACCTCCGTACGGAGGTGGGGTCGCCTTCGAGGAGTGCTTCCGGGTCAAGCATCCGCTGGGGCGGAAGGCGCTGACTCCAGTGAGGTGGGTGAGTACCCTGCTCTGGTAGCTCGCTTCCTGAGCGCTTAAAGGATGCCTGGGGGCTGGACGCGGAGTGTGCCGGGATGGCCGCTCTCCGTGAAGGCCTGAGGTGGGTGTGGGGGTTTCGCCAGGAAGTATTTACAGAATAGTAGAGGGGACACACCAGGAAACCAGTGAAGGCCCTGCTCTGACATCACTGCAGGGTGGTGGGGAACAGGAGACCTCAAACCAGTCAGAGCAGCCGTACCTGAAACGGTAGTTAAGTGCTTTATCGAGTCTAAATGGAGAGATGGAAGGGACCTCGGTGAGGAAGTGAGAAGGAGGAAGCCTGCCTATCTGGAGTAGTAGAGCTTTGCAAGAAGAGCAAAGGGAGGCAACGCGAAGAAAGGGAGGGAGATGGGAGGAGAGACCTAGTCACTGAGCCTTTGTCAGGTCAGTGACAAGGCGTTTGACTTTAAATTTGGAACTTGGTGGGAAGTAATTAAAAGTTTCTAAGCAGGAGAGTGACATGCTTTTGACTTGTGATTTTAGGGTCGCTCTAATGCGCAGTGCGTCGCTTCATTTGCCCCTGAGCAGATTGAATGCACAAAACTCGGACAGACAGATCCAGGAAGGCCTTAAAGGCAATTTTGTAAAAATGGGGATAACAGAAGCCCAGAGAGGCAAAGACTTGATTTCAAGCGTCAAGAATTTGTGCTGGTGTATAACTCCGTGGTAGTGCATTTGCCTGTCGTGTGCAAGGCCCTGGGTTCGATCCTTAGGACCTAAAAACTAAGAACTAAAAAGTAAAGGGGGGATTTTCTAGTCGATCCCTTATATCAGTGTCCAGATGTGTCTGCCCCTTCCTGAAACCCTTCAAATGTTTTCCTTTAGTTTCGATGGTAATACTTTGAGTTTTGGTACGGTGATGTTACCAGAGACCACTAAAGGCCCATTCCTTTGAAGTAAGACTGCAGGTTAAAGGCTAGCCAGAACTAAGTAAGCACATCCTGTCTCAAACAAAAATGTCTGGTCCAGCAAATAAACTAAAAGTACAAAATGGATTTCTTCTGGTTTTCTTTTGTAAGGGAAAAAATGTAGAGACTAGAAGTGTATCTTGGTCAACTAGTAACTGTCTTATCCTTTACGCATTGCCGTTGTTAATAGAGCAATGGTTGTGAAACTTCTTGGTTGTGGGAGTCCATTACACTTAAGCGTACCCAGAATTCCAAAGGGCTTTGTTTATGTAGACTGCTGCTACCAGCAGTTCCCATTTCAGATACCAAAATCACTCTTTAAATTTTTTTCTTTTTTTATATTACAGTTTATTCACCTTGTATCCCAGCTGTAGCCCCCTCCTTCCCAGTTCTACCCTCCCTCCCTCATCTCCTCCCATGCCCCTCTCCAAGTCCACTAATAGAGGAGGTCCTCCTCCCCTTCCAACTGACCCTAGCCTATCTCTTTTTAAATTTTTATTTTAAAATAGTAAGCTCTCTCACTAAACGATAACTGACTTCCTTAAGGGGATATTTTCCAAGTGGACGTGCTAGCACATGTCTGTAATCCCAGCACTTGGGAGATGGAGATACAGGCAGTAGGAGGAATTCAAGTTTATCTTGGGGTGCAGATTTGAGGCCAGCCTGGACTGCATGAGACCTTTTATCAAAAAACAACAAAACTACAGTTTCTCTAATTTCTCATGGGGAGCTGTTTCTGGGGAAGGGAAATGATAAGCAAAAAAAGAGCAACTAGAACCAGAACATTGGGTTGAAAACTATTTAGAGACTATAGAGAATAAAGCACACATAATTGCAGCTTTGCTGTAGGGGCTGGAAACATTGTATGATTTTAGGTAAAGAAAGGGAAGATGATGGGATCATTCTCCAGATAGAGAAATGAAGAGCCCTACAGCACATCAGAGCAAGTGATAGAGATGCAGCTAAAGACCGTGCCAATTTATAACCGTACCTACTCAGGCAGTGGGTGCAGGCATGCGCTGCTGCCTACATATTCAGCTCCTGCAGAGTTACAGCTGCCAGCCGAAGTTTCAAGCTTATCTCTTCTTGGATAAATTTTGTTTTTCTTTTGAAACTTGGCATTTGGGTATTTAGATTGGACTTCGAGTGATGGTGTGGTACTAGACCTTCCAAGGTCTTTACTGCTACTAACTTTGTTCCATAGATGTGAAAACAAAGGCTTTTCCAACCTGGACTTCACCCAGAGCAAGGACAGGGTATTTGTAACTCCGGAGCCCATTCTTCTAACCACTAAACCACATAATCCTATAATTTTGGCATTACGAAACTGGAAGGATTGTGTGCATGTCCTCTAAGCTGGGTGTGTTGGACAAGTAGATCTGGGGTTACCATGAAGGGTTCTGTCTACCGAGTTAAAGATACAGTGGGGTTTTTCTCAGCTTCAGACTACAAAGGAAGGAAAATGAGATGGGAAGGTCCTGAAGCTAAGCCTGTTTTACAGATATTTTACCATCCACTTCCAGTCACTGCTGTGCCAAAAAAAGGATACAAGTCAGAATGATGCTGGCATTTAGTCAAAGTTCCAAAAAGGATGGATACAGAAAATGTTTTTTATTGTGCCAGAAAACATGTTGATATTTGAGCTGAGATTGTCCATATGTCTTGGGGTAGAGTGCTGGGCTCCAGGATATGACTGGAAATATAGGCTAGAAACTTCTAAGTAAATGGCCCTCAAAATGATGACCTTTGTTTGAATAATAGTAACAATAGATAGAGAGATGGTAGGTAGATAGGTAGGTAGATAGACAGATAGATTGTGTGTGTGTGTGTGTGTGTGTGTGTGTGTGTGTGTGTGTGTGCGTGTGCGCACGGGCAGCATGTGTGCCATGATGCCTGTGTGGAGGTCTCAGTACAACTTTGTAGAGTCAGTTCTCCATTTCTACATTTATGTGGATCCCAGGGTGGAATCAGGTCTCCAGGCTTGCTCAGCAGATATCTTTACCCACTGGACCATCTCTTTAGCCCCAGAACTATACAATGTCACAGATCTCCATGGTAACCCGGTGTTAAACCCCACAACTGTGTTTGCTCTTTGCCGTGGATGGAGGGTACAAGCAAGCTGCTCTCCTTTTGTTTTCCTCCTTGCCAGCTCAGAATGCCACTTTGTCAAGTGTGTGGCAGTTTGTAGGAGCACCTCCACTTTGCAACTGTGACAAAGGCAGAGCAGAGCGGATGCACTGTAAATACAGCAAGGAGCAGTTAATTATGGGAGTAAGACATTAGTACCCTGCTGTAATTGGAGTGAAAAACATAGCCATCTGGGCACTAGTGTTTTCCCCCTTGACTTACCCAGAATGATTTCTGCAAACGGCAGTTTCCACAGCCAACTTATTACTGAGCTACCAAAACGGAAGTCAGCCACATTGCTTCCTTATTTGCTTCTGGTGAGAACTGAAGCTGAGAGGAAATATTTCTTCACTCAAAGTTGGCAAGAGCAGCAGCCAAGCAGTCTGCTAGGGATGACAGCAAAGGCTCTTCTCTTCCTGACTTTTAAAATAATAGTCAATATTCAGAATAGTTTTCTGGGGTAAAATCATCTACATTTCTGCTTATTCATGGTCCTAACATGTCAGCTGCTATTCTGAGAATAACAGGCATGGTATTGGAAGTGCCAAATCTAAAAGTGGGTCACACTCCGAAAATTCATGAATCCTTCTTTTTTCTTGCATTCAAAGCACAGTTGTACTTCCCTTCAGCACTGCTCATGCCAGTGTGTGTGTGTGTGTGTGTGTGTGTGTGTGTGTGTGTGTGTGTATGTGTGTACGCACATCTGTGCGTTTAGCTGTTTCTGCCCCCAGGTTCTCAGCTAGTTTGTGAATTCCTGAGTGTGCAGGACAGGGTCTAACTCACCTGAGCAGCACTTGAAGCACTGGCTACTTCACCTCTCATGTGATAGCTTCCCAATTTAATTGATGATGTAAAGTCAGGCTGTGAGTTGCACAGTGACTGTTGCTAACCTCCGTCATCACGACTTTGGAAAAGGGAATGGTCGCTCGGTGTTTTAGTTGCAGAAGCCACTGGAGCTAACTTAAGATTTCATATGAGGAATAAGCCATGAGTATCTGGAGCCTCACTGCCCTTCTGCTGTCACCGTGGACTTTGGCCACTGTTGTCTCCAAGTGCTCAACAGCTCTTACCTTCAGGGGTGTTCTCTTTCTTCATAGCTGATAGCAGAAGGCCTTCGTGTTCATATGCCTATGGCGACAGGTCACAGGTCTGAAGTGGCTGGTGTGGACTAGACACTCAAGGCTGTTGTCAGATCTGGTTTTCTCCTGTCCTGAAGTCATTTTCAGGCTGCTATGCTCCCTTTGGCATGGCTGTGATTCAGGGTGGCTGTGGTGTTTCTGTATACCCTGTTTTGAAGGGGTTTGTGAACCCCTAGCCAATACAAATGGCTTTGTCAGACTGCAGATGTGGCCCTCAGGATACTTTGTTCAAAACACCCCATAGTGCAGTGGTTCTCAACCCTCGTAATACTTGGACACTTTAATACAGTTCCTCATGCTGTGGTGATCTCCCCACCATAAAATTTTTTTGTTACTGCTTCATAACTGTAATCTTGCCCTTTAAAATTGTAATTACCTGATATGCAGGATATCTGAAATGCAACACCTGTGAAAGGGTCATTTGACCCCCAGGTTGAGAATCACTACCATGGTATAAAGAGAAGGGTTGGAGATGGCTAACAAGGGTCACCTGGTGATTACAGCAGTTGCTTTGTTAGCTTTGCAAGGCTTAATCTTCTTTCTCCTAACCATTTTCCCCATTTGCTTCCCTTTTTGCAAGGTAAGCCTTAAAATGATTTGTGCTTTTAATTTTTAATAAAACTAAATAAAGAGCCAGGTGATGGTGGCCTATGCCATTAATCCCAACACTTAAGAGATGTAGGCTCAGTTTAAGGCCAGCCTGCTCTACAGGATGAGTTCCAGGACAGCCAGGGCTATGCAGAGAAACCCTGTCTCAATAAACAAACAAACAGACACAGGGAAATCCTGTCTTAAAAGAAAGAAAGATGTTTATTTCTATTTAAAAAAAAAAAAAAGTTATTGGTACCAAACCCTTGAATTCTGTAAGAGCCAAAGCAGCATATATGAGCCTCTTTCTCCACCTCCTCCTCCATCTTCTCATGGCCCTCTCCTCTCTCCATCCCTATTCTCCTGTCTCTCAGTTTTCACTTATAAGAAGGCTGAACCAAACTGTCTCAACACCCTGGATGCTTGCTCTTCTCAAATGACCCTAATTACAAATGTCTCCATCCTAAATCCCACAGGGTAAGTGGATCATAAGGAAGCTAGCTTGTCTGCCACAAATGCAGGGCACAGGTAGTGTGACATACGATGCCCCTTTTGACTCGTGTTATTGTGAAATACTGATTTGTGATGAGACCGTAAGAAAAGTGATGTTTTGAATTTAAAAAATGAAATTGCAGTAGTGTCTCCCCACCCAGATTATTACATAGTTTATGGTATTCTGAGTAAAGGTGCTTAATGGTGTAACCATTAGATGGTGTGCGTATAAGCACACCTAAAGAACCATCAGCGATAACTAGAGTGCATTTAGTGAATGCTGCTGCCAGACCATGTTGCACATGGATTATCTCTAGGTGCCACTCTCCTGTAAGAATAGGTACTATTGTTTTTCCTCCTTTAGAGATAAGGAGACAAGGCACAGACTTTAAGTCCTTCGTAGAAGTTACAGGGCTGGTTAGAACAGGCCTGAATGCCCACTCAGGAAACAGGCTCACGTCTGCGCTCTGAACCTCTGCCACCCTGGCTTTACCAGATTGCAGACATTCAGTTGCACCAGTGCCAAGGAAGCCAGAACCAGGATGGAATGTGACAGCTCGGCTCTGTGGCAGGAAGTGTTCCGGCAGTCTTGAGCACAGTTAGCAGGGCTATCAGAAGAGAGGAACTATGTTGGTGCCACCAGATGTCAGTCCAGGGACCCTCGCCTCAGAATTACCCAGGATGCTACTCTAAGCCCACGTCAGATCTAGATTTTTAACAGCTCTCTAGATGATGATAATACTTAAACAGGTTTGAATTCCTGAATTTGGTGTTTTGTTTTGTTTTACTTCCACTTTTTTCCTCTAGTACCAGGTGATGAAAAGGTTGCAAGTCTGTTTGAAAAATGCCTGTACACTTGAGTATTAAAAACAACAGCACAGTATTACTCATTCTAGAGACACTGCCACCTGATTCAAGCTCTGAGATGGACACCATCATGTGTTTAGGGAAAACAAAAGCCAAACCAAGAAGCTCTCTCCAGTTCTAATCTCTATCAGTTCTGCTTTACCTCCTATCCTAGCACCTCCTTCCTCCCTACCTGTACCAGCACTGAATTTCAACATAGAGACCCACATTCTCATCTATTCAAGTTTCTACTGAGCCAGCCTGTCAGAGGACACACATTATGCTTAATGCCACCTGAGGCCAAAATGCAGGAAGCCTCCCCAAGAGAGTAAGCAATGCAGTAGATCCAAGGGATGGGCAGAGCAAGAATAGAGTTGTCCAGGAAGAAGGCCAAGCAAGGCACGGGCGAAAGGTCACTGGTCAGGAGGTCACAGGAAAGAGCCACAAGTTGTAGAGACAGGTATGTCTCACAACCAAACTCAGGGGCAGAAAATGCTGGATTCTGATTCTGGAGGGAAAGAAACTGGGTCGGGTTCTTGTTCTGAAATGAAATCAGATAGGCGTGGGGGATTAAAATGACTGGGCTAAGTAAAAGAGATATGTGTCCACTGACAAGAATTGAAAAGGCCAAAGAATAGAGTAGTCCAAGGGACATGGCACACTTGTGGGACGGGCGTTGGCCGCAGGGTCAAGGCAGCATGAGAACACAGCGTGGAACAGGCCTTCCCTTTACACCACACAGGGAATGACTGGCCTCACAAGGACTGCTGAGCCAGCAGCCCTCCACCACAAGGCTCAAAGATAGAGGGTGTCCCTCTTTGAGCAGGCCGCAGTAACTGAAGTGAGTCATTTTTATGCACAGCTACACGGGTGATCCACAGAAGTTGTATGCAGCTTTCCTTTAAAATAAACATACAAAAAGAAAATGAGTGGATTTAAAGGTTTTGCCTTAGCAAATAGTAAAAAGTGTGGCAGTGGGAGTGAAAGGCATTTCACAGTTTGATTCAGATGAACCTGGGAAACTCCCTGTCAAACTCCCGGGAAAGCTTGGAACACTCACCATGAGAACTGCTAAGGACAAAGCCGTATCTGTCAGATACTGCTCCTGTTCAGAGACCAGAAGCTTATACTAACACAGAGCCTGGCTCCTGGTCCTCATCAGTAAGTGTTTCATTGTTTGTGCCTGTGCCTCTGTTATTAGATCAGACTCCCATTAACTTCTGGCATAATCCTAGCTAACAAGCCATCACTGTGAAGTCTATAAATTAAACTAAATTGTTTATTAAATGCCCAAGGCTGTTTTCTTCGTGTTAGTTTAGTAGGTTTTTATGACGAAATGAAAGTACATGAAACATGAAACACATGTTTAATCTATCCTGTAGAGCCAAAGTCTGAAGTTTTGGCTTTTATTCTAAGTAGTTTCTCCTTAAATTTTAAAGATTGAGATTTTTTATTGTAATTATTCACCCAATCCTTTAAGAGCTTAATGAAAACTAAATGGCATTTTTAAACATGTAATTCAGACTTTGACTGTTTAATGGCAAAATACAATGACCCATTGGTTTTTATGTTCTGTGATCAAGCAGCCTTCCTGTGAGTATAAAAGGAGGTAAGTGTCATCCCCAAAGCTAATTACCTTGGACTTTGACAAGAACTAAAGTGGGGGAATCAAGTTAGCAAGAAGAAAATCATAAACACCTGACTCAGCCTAGACTTTTATTTTGCTTTTGGTTTTTCAAGACAGGGTTTCTCTGTGTAGCCTTTGCTGTCCTGGGCTCACTTTGTAGACCAGGCTAGCCTCAAACTCACAGAGATCCGCCTACCTTTGCCCCCCTGAGTGCTGGGATTACAGGCGTGCGCCACTGCACCCAGCCAAGGTATTTTGCTTTGTAGTCATATTTTAATCTTCTTCCAAAGTTGTCTAGTAGTCTTTCCTTGTAGTTGTATATTTGTGCGTCTACCAACTACACATTTAAGATGTTAGTTTTGTTAGACTTTCATCAAGAAATTTGTTATTTGTACATAGTATTCAATATACTGTTTTATCTCTTAATTGTAAAGAAGATGCTAGGGTTTTTTGGGGGGTTGTTTTTTGGTTTTTGTATAGCATTGTGAGAGGGAGGTTGTATAGCCTCAGATGTTAGTATCTCTGTAGGTCACACAGTATTGGTTTGTTTTTTCCTAACAAGACCAAATTCCAGGTCAGGTGTCCCTGAATTATTTGTTTGGTCTGCATATATAGGTGGAGTGCACAAATTCTGATCTCCATGATAATGAATAAGATATCAGTTGCTTTACATATAGCAATTATGGTAGTGGTGCAGGTTGAAATAAAAGATCGTTAAACTATACTCCAACTCTCATTGGCTCCCCGTGGCATAGAATTTTCCAAGTGAAATGGAATCTCAGCCTTTAGAAGCAGAAGCATCCTTTGAGTCTCTCATCTTTCCCCTCAGGGGGCAGATGAGAAAGTGGAAGGCCAGAGAAAGCTGCTTGCCACCGTTGGGGTGCTGGCAAAGTTTGGCTGGAATCTAAGTCTGCTCGTGCCTGGCTCAGCACTGCTTCTCCAGTGAGGAGGTACTCTGATCATCCCTGAGGCCAGCACCAGTTACTCAGTTGGTTTTGTATCTATTCGTTTCTGGGTCATGCAGTTTTGTCCCATGATGAGCCGCGGTTGGGTAAACACAATGTGGTTTTCTTTTAGGCCGGCCTCCACACTCATCTTTTTAATTTTGAAAGCTCAACACTCTTGGACCACTTCTTTGGAAAACTACCAGCAACAAGTCATTCACTGCGATCCTATTCAGCATAGCCACATCTGAACTTTCCAAGTCTAAACAGGACTGCCTTTGATTCTCCCATGAAGCTGCATCATCACTGCCTGTCCATGTTAGTGGTGGTCACTCTTGTGCCAGCTGCTCTGGTTTTGGAAGATGTGGCCCCACTGGGAGCAAATCAGAGTTCATACAACACATCATTTCTCCCGAGCTTTGAACTCTCAGCAGGTTCCTACTCAGGTGATGGTGTCGTCATAGCCAAAGAGGGAACAAACATTTCCCTGGAATGTCTTCTCACAGTGCATCACTATGGAGACGTCTACTGGTACAACTCGAAAGGACAGCAGCTACAAGGCAGAGGTAATCCTGTGAGGTGTGATCAGCCAGGTGACTCTACCTGCTCTTGGGGGTTATGACATCCGAACAAGAAATCTCCAAGACAAGATGTCAAGGGGACTAGCTTCAGTGAGCTAAGGGATACGGTTCAGTGGTTGAGCACTTTTTTAGAATGCACAAGGCCATGGATTTCATCCCTAGCATGGGGATAGAGGTGGGATTTAAGGTCTAAATTATCATACATATCAAAAAGAACAAAACAATTATAATTATTTTTAAAAAGATAGGTATAAATTTAAAAGATAGTCACATGACAGTAAACTATTCCTTCCTGTTAAGTTTTCCTTTATTTTTTCCCCCAATTTGTTTTAGACAAAGTATTATAGTTCAAGTTCACCAGGAACTCTGTGTAGCCAAGAATGACTTTGATCTCCAGATCATCTTGCCTCCAATACTCAAGTGCTAGGTACACTAGCATGCCCCACCTCCACCATGCCCAACTTTGGCTCTTTTTTTTCCCCTAATTTAACCTTAATTTACTTGAAAACAACGATTCTTTTTTAATCTTTTGTTTCTGTCTTAAGAATTGCACAATGATGGGTCATCAAGATAACTTAGTAAGTAAAGACACTTGCCATGGCCAGCTTTGTGTCCACATAGTAGAGAGAGAGAGAACCAATTTCCACGAGTTGTCCTCTGATGTCCACACACACACACTGTGGTATCTGGACCCATACACACACTTATATGTATGTGTATGTATTTAAGTGTGCATATATATATACATACATACATACATACATAAAAATATATAATTTTTCAAAATTGTACACAGTCCAGGTTTACTTTCAAGTGGATTTTTATTGTATTCTATTTATAGATTCGTGTAATAGTATACATAATAATTTATTCACTAGTGATCTGTTGGAGAGATCTTGGAGGAGCCGAGAAGGTACCTCAATGGTTAAAAGCACTGGCTGCTTTTCCAGGGGCCTCAGGTTCAGTTCCTTGCACCCACATGGCAGCTCACAACTGTCTGTAACTTCAGTTTCAGGGGACCAGATGCCATCTTCTGGCCTCTGCAGGCAAAACATTTGTATACATAAAACAAAAATAAATCTTTAAAATAAAAGGGGGAGTTGCTGGATGGCTCAGATGGCTCAGAGCACTGGTTGCTCTTTCAGAAGTCCTGAGTTCAATTCTCAGCAACCACATGGTGGCTCACAACCATCTGTAATGTGACCTGATGTCCTCTTCTGGCAATGCTGTAGGTGCACATGCAGACCCAACATTGAATACATAATAAATCAAGAAAGAGAAAGAGAGAAAAGAGAGGGAGAGAGATAGAGAAAGGAAAGAAAGAAAGAAAGAAAGAAAGAAAGAAGGAAGGAAGGAAGGAAGGAAGGAAGGAAGGAAGAAAGAAAGAAAGAAAGAAAGAAAGAAAGAAAGAAAGAAAGAAAGAAAGAAAGAAAGAAAAGATCAATCCAGATGGTAGTGATGCATGCCTTTCCTCATACTCAGGGGTCTGAGGCAAGTGGATCTCCTGAGTTCCAGGATAGTGAGAGCTACACAGGGAAACCCTGTCTCAAAAAAAGAAAGAAAGAAAAATGGCTGGAGAGATGGCTCAGCAGTTAGAGAGCCCTGGCTGCTCTTCCAGAGGATCTGGGTTCAATTTCCAGCAACCATATGGGCATCTCGAAACTGTCTGTAACTCCAGTTCCAGGGGATTTGACACCCTCACACAGACATACATATAGACAAAACACCAATGCACATAAAAATAAATCATTTTTTTAAAAAACAGAAAGAAAAATCTTTGTGATAAATACTTGAGTTATAAAGTACCTTGAAAAGAAATGAAAGTCAAAAAGATGAAGAGTAAGTCCTAGGCTCTCCATAAGCTAAACTTTTAGGAAGTACTCTGTTATCAAGATAGACAGTATAACCTCTTAAAACGTAGAGGTTATTTGTTCTTCACATTATGTTAAAGCAGAAGAGACAGGCGCAGGGGAGTGTGTCTCAGCGACAAGCCATCTAGCAAACACCGGTTGGATCGGCAACACCGCACACAAGATAGTCGCCTTAGTCTCTTCTCCAGTTGCTGTCATAAACTACTTGACAAAAAGAGCTTAGGAAGAAAGGGTTTATTTCAGCTCACAGTTCCAGGTAACAGTCTGTCCTTGCAGGGAAGCCAGTGGTAATAGCTCAAAAGAGCGAGTCATATTTCATCCGTCATCAAGAAGCTGATAGCAGTGAAAGCATGCTGCTTCTCAGCTCAGTAGCTACAGGTCACTAGGCTTAGTGAGGAGTGCCTTTGCCCACTGAACTGTCTCTGGCCCCATGCGAGGTGCGTGTTTAAAGGTAACTTTTGTACCTTGTCATGTGAGTTCATGATGAAAAGTAAGCGGCACATCAATGAAGATAAATGTAGCTCATCACCCCATAAATAGTCATGTCTTTATACTTCTGAGACATGTCCTTCTCATGTATGAAAATGTATAGGTGGCAGCATGGTGCAGACTCACACACATGGATGAACATGTCTTTGAAAAACTGGTCTGCCTGACAGGCTTGCTGTCTGACAGTGAGAAGGAAATGATGGCCTTAGGATCGTCAGAAAGATAATTTTCATTGCTTGTTTTATGCTGATAGAATCCTGGTCAAACAGAACAGTCTGCTTTTCCCATTTTTTTCTTCCTTTCTTCCTTTCTCGTTTTTAACATGATTTAAACAGTAGAACCTAGCAGACAAGCTGTAGTAGTTTTATGAAAGGCTAATATTGGCAAGGCAGTTGGTCTTTTCTGTAATTTTTTGTTCGTTTGTTTCTGTTGGCTTTATTAGGTGGAAAATGGTTGGTTTCTGATAACTTCCTAAATATCACCAGCGTAGCCTTTGATGACCGTGGGCTCTATACGTGTATCGTCACTTCTCCAACTCGTGCCTCCTACTCAGTCACCCTCCGCGTCATCTTCACCTCTGGAGACATGAGTGTCTACTATATGGTTGTCTGCCTGATCGCCTTCACAATCACACTTATCCTGAATGTCACTCGGCTGTGCCTGATGAGCACCCATCTCCGCAAGACCGAGAAGGCCATCAATGAGTTCTTCAGAACTGAGGGGGCTGAAAAGCTGCAGAAGGCCTTTGAGATCGCAAAGCGCATCCCCATCATCACCTCAGCCAAAACCCTGGAGCTGGCTAAGGTCACACAGTTTAAGACCATGGAGTTTGCCCGCTACATTGAAGAACTGGCCAGAAGTGTCCCTCTCCCACCCCTCATTCTGAACTGTCGGGCCTTTGTTGAGGAAATGTTTGAGGCTGTGCGAGTGGATGATCCTGATGACGTGGGAGAGAGAATTAAGGAAAGACCTGCCTTAGACGCTCAAAGTAGCATCTATGTTATTAACCCAGAGCTAGGACGCAGTAACTCACCTGGTGGAGATTCGGATGATGGCTCGCTAAGTGAGCAAGGCCAGGAGATAGCAGTGCAGGTGTCTGTCCACCTTCAGTCAGAGACCAAAAGTATCGGGACAGATTCTCAGGACAGCAGTCATTTCAGCCCACCCGATGACCCTGCACCTGCTGAGGGCAGCGCTCACCACAGAGAGCGAGTGTGTGACAACTGAAAGCTTGCCCAGCACTCAGGAAAAGAGTGCAATGAGGACATGGCATTGTTACAAGAAGACCAGGGTCTTTCCTTTAACCTTAAGCATTCCAGAGCATGAATTGCCAAAGTCACCATGGAAAGGCAGCATTTTTCTGATAATGCGATCATTTTTCTTAAGGTTGTTAGAGAAATGTGTTTTAGGATTGAAAGGCATCTGCGCTGTGAACACAGTAAGACTTCTGGTCACAGTTTTTCTTTGGCTCATGTATGACAGCCTTGAAGCCTGAGTTTCCCCATCAATGAAATGAAAGGTTTGTTCTCAGTAAGTTGAGACTTCAGCCAAAACTTCCTACCTGTCACACCTCCAGGTTAGCCTTTCACCAGACCTTTGGTTCCCCCTTTGAGACTCTATTCGGCACTCTAGTTGTCTGCACCAGTGCCAGAAACACAGAGGCTCTGCCTGGGGATAAACACGCACATATGCCAGGGCAGAGCTCTGCACCCAAGCACTACTGTGCTACCCAGGTGTGCAAAGTAAATTGCCATTAGAGAACCACTCTCCCTGGATGTGAGCAGCACACACCTTTAATCCCAGCAGAGAGAGGCAGATCCCCGAGTTCGAGGACAGCCAGGGTTACACAGAGAACCCTTGGCACAAAAAAAAAAAAAAAAAAGAAGAAGAAGAAAAAACAAAAAACCACTCTCCATGAGAAATGTGTTCTTCTTGGGAATACATCCTGTCTTTTTCGCTTACCAAGACCTTTTAGTCCATCGAGGCTGGCCTCAATGTCCCCAAAGAAGAATGTTCTCAGTGTTTTGTGAACAAGAACGACTCAAGTCACTTCTGGCAAATCATCAGTTTTGATACTTTTTAACTTATGTCTCAGGCTTTCCCTTCTTGGAAGTACTGAGTTCCCAGGTGGGCTCTGTTTGGGTCCCGAACTGCAGACTCCAGCAGCACTTCAGAGCCCAGCAGCACTCCTTCCCTCTGTGGGCCTCGACCTGGTGCTAAAGGTGATAACACCTCCTCTTAGACTCGTCGTCATTACTGTTTTTGGTCTTCAGATGCATCCTTTTGAGTGGGGGCTGCTTTCGTAGCCTTTCTAGAAGCACATGCCTGAAATCAGATGAGGTCATCGTGTTCAGTGAGTTATATTAAAACAGGTAATCCAGACATAAAGGGGGAAATGAGGGTGGTCCCACCTGGCTGAGAGTGGCCTGACAGATTGTAGTCTTCTAAATCATTTCCTCAGCTGCAGGGAGCTCATGCCTTAGAAATGTAACATCATGGCCATGGAGTTCAATGCGGTTTCACTGCATTTGCCTTCTGGTTGTGGAAGCTTGGCTTGAGCTAGAAGGTCCTGAGGGAAACGTACAGAGAAGGTGTTCAGCAGAATTTAATTTAAAGTGTCAAACAAAGAGGACAGAAAGATCAAAGTGTAACTAGTGAACTCAGTGCCTGCCTTTGTCCAGGCTAATCAGATTCACACCTCTGCTCCGGACAGTGTGCAGTTTTATCACGTGGTATGTAGATAATATGGTAATGCTGCCTTTTCTGTCTCTCAGGCTGTTTCCATGGAAACCTCCAGAGCCAAACAAAAGCTACCAATCATTCAACCAAAAAGCTTGCATTGGCTCCGAGATGTGTATTTCTGTAAGGAAAGCTGTTTTCCTACATTTGGCTGTAGAACAAGGGCTCTTACACATACCCTAAATTATAGAACCTGTTTTCCTTTCCTGGACATTCTAAATTTTTAAAAATCTCTTCTGTGGGGTTAGTCTCCTGAATGTCCCTCAGATGTGCAGTACCTCACTTGATAAAGCAAGGTTAAGATCACTTCTTATAATGAAGTTTGTTGCCTTAAATACTGGTTTTACCCCACGTGTTCCTAGAAGGAACATTAATGTCTTGAACTTTAAGGTGGACCTATTTAATGACCAGAGTTTCAGAAAACAGTATTTTTAAAAAAAAATGAAAAACACCAAAACACTTGGGTAAGCTAACAGAATTCATACAGGCAACTCCACCATAGGCTGGGTTAGTTGTCACAGACGAACAAGACAGGCAGTGGGTGTGGTAGAACACACCGGTAATCCCAGCACCTGGGGGCAGGGGCGGAGGACGGCAAGTGCTAAGCCAGCCTGAGATATTAGCGTGACCCTGCCTCAGAATCCTAACCACTGGGCATGTGGCTGGCTGAGGTCAGTGTTTCTTCTAGCACTAAGCCTGGGCTTGAGCCCATCACTGGTGCTATCCTAACTGCTGGCCACAGAAACTGCCCTGCTTCTAGCCTTCCAGGTTCCATCACTACAGGGTAGGTCAAACTCAGGAGGAACGGCACACTTGTAAAGCTAGTTTTCAAAGGGAAGAGGACAGCTGTTAATATTGTCTGTGTCTAATCAAACCGAATGACCTAACAGTCTCATCTGTTTGAAACCATTTACCTTAGGAACTTAAAACCACAGTCTGAAAGTCTGTCACCAGCTAGTGTCATTATCATTCTGTCTGGCTGAATTTTATAGGTAGCTTTGTTTTGTTTAACGCCTTTGACCAGCAAAATGTGTCTAAAATATGTCTGTCACCGTATTGTGAATTTCGTATTGTTGAATGAACTTTAATAGCCTCACAGCTTTGTAAAATAAATCTACCACAAGTTGCCATCTTCAGATTTTGGCATCTTCAGATACTCCTTCCACACATCCACTGTGTGAACTGTTGTGTTTGTAGCAGTTTGGTAACCTTAGTCCTCAAAGCCATGTCTACTATGGTTTAAAAAGCAGGTGTTGCCGTTTGTCCAACCTGGCTTCAAACTTACCGTCTAGTCTCAGCCTCCTGCATACTAGGATCCCAGCATGCACTGCCATGTCTGCCTTTGTCTCAGCATGTAGCCTAGGCTGGCCTTGAACCTTGAGCAAATCCTCTTGCCTCACAAATGCTAGAGTTACAAGTGTGTGTCACTATGCCTGGCTTTTAGGCTTAATTCTTGAGTCAGGCCCAGTGGGCTTGTCTACTTCCGGACCACTACATCTTGATGTAAACACGGTAAGAACTGCTGACCATGGGACACTTGTGAGAAAGCCCCTGCTGCTACTTTGCCTCCCTTCCACGTGCTTAAGGTCAGATCCCCATGTGTTTCCACCTCCTCTTCAGTTCCCCAACCTCGAGAGCCCTTGGGCCAATGCTTTTATACCCTGCATGTGGTTTCACCCTACTGCAGACTAAGCTGGGTCCCTGGCTGTCCCAGGAAGCTGCTTGCTTGCCATCTAGAGCCCAGCTCAGCACAGGGCTGGCCACCTCCCCACACCAGCCATTGTTAACTCCAGTGTATCCTATTTCCAGAGCCACAGTCTTCTCACCTGGGGCTTGAACATGACAACACAGCCTCGGGAAAACTTCTGGGTGCTTATGAACCTGTCTCACAACAGGAAATGAGTGTTCTTGGATAGTACTTGTGTCTCAACAGTTATTTGAATAAAACTTGCATTAAATAAGTCAGAGTTGAACGATGTACATTAAATGGAGTGCTTACTTGAGTCCACAGAATGTCTTCTCATATATGATCCAGCTTGATCTTTTTTCAGATTTTCTGTGTACATGAGTTTTTGCCTGCGTGTATGTCGTGCACCAGGTACATGCCTGATGCCCAGGGAAGTCAGAAGAGAGTGTTGGAGTCCCTGGAACTGGAGCTATAGGTGGCTGTAAGCCACCATATAGATGTCTGGGAACTGAACCCAGGTCATCTACAAGAACAGCAAGTGCTCTTAACTGCTTAGGCATCTCTCTAGCCCCTGAAGTGTGGTTTGATGAGTGTAAACAAGAGTGTCTTTGAATTCAGTGTGACTGTTTCAACACAGAGTTCTCCTAACCATGAGCCACGCTTTGGTGGGTACCCTCCACCTGCAAACCAGCAGGTAATCATCACATGGACCCAAACAGCACAGCTCTTTCCCACTTCTGAAGTAAAGTTCTCCATGACTCTGAAGCAGGTCCAACAGAGGCCCAGGGGACTGGTATTGCTCCCAGTGTGTCATGTTCATGAGCTCTGGCAGCTGAGAGCATTGGCTCTGGGAGAAGTGTGCTGTTAGTGCTGGTGACAGAGCCCAGGAGGGAAAGAGAAAGGCAAGGTAGAACATACGCCTCATTAGTTAGGTGCACAGGCTCCATGGAGTAAAGAGCCAGCTGACATTCAGTGACAAAGCTGATCCTGATGCCACCAGTAGCCTTGTAGACAAGGGTGTGTGGAATTTGATGTTAATTATTTATTTATTTATTTTTAGAAAGATTTCTTTATTATGTATACAATGTTCTGCCTGCATGTGTGCCTGCACGCCAGAAGAGGGCACCAGATCTCATTATAGATGGTTGGGAGCCATCATGTGGTTGCTAGGAATTGAACTCAGGACCTCTGAAAGAACAGACAGTGCTCTTAACCACTAAGCTGTCTCTCCGGCCCAGTGTTAATTATTTTAAAAAGGAGCAAACTTAAATTCAACATGGAATTCCTCCACACACTTCAGCATCTACTCGCCACCCTGGATGGTGATGAGGTGACGCCTACTTGGTGGTAGACTCCCCCTGAGGATTAGCTGGAGCAGCATAAGGAAACCTGGTTTGCTTGGCCTGGTGTATAGTGCAGGGGCTGCATCAGCACTGCTAGCCACGCCCCAACGATACTCAGGGCAGCCACAAGCTCACACCTCTCAGAATTGCATCTGGCCGTAGGCTGAGCCAACGTGAGGGTGGTGGCCTACCAAAACCAGACTGTGTTTCTCAAATAATTCCAGCACAGGCAGTTCAAGGCTGGTGCGAGGGCTCAGGCCTGCTCTCAAGGACTCGGCTTCTAGACTCCTCTCCACTCTGACATGCATTCTGACATTCTGTCACTCTCATGGTCACAAGATGTCATATTTGGGGTCTAGGAGGAGCTCCTCAGACATTTTTTGTGAAAGCAATCTATTTTGGAGATGAGTCTAGAAGCGCAGGGGCGTGAGACACGAAGGAGAAGGAAGCCAATAAATACAGGGACATTTTGCAGAGGGTTACTTCTGTCGGTATCTGGTGCTCAATCTTCCTGGGGACACTGACATCTAGAGTCCTCTGGCCCAAAGGCCAGCAAGCTGGGATATTTGCCCTCCAAAGCAGCTGTTGTTAGTTACCAGCTGTTCTCAGGGTCCCTTTAACAGATGAATATCCTGGGTGGAGACTTCAGTCTGTCAGTAGGGAGTCTGTGGTAACTAAAGGGACAGTGAGTGGCAGGGGTTTATAGGCAGGGTGCCAACAGCATCCACTAATAGGACAAGCCCCCGCCTCCAGCATGGGATCTGCATTCAGGGTAGAGAGAAGGGCAGACAGTCAAAAAGCAGAAGACAGCAGCCAAGTCTGTTTTTTATCAAGAAAGCAATGGACTTCCCAAAGCTGTACCCACACGGGTGTACCCAGCAGCACCCAGGTGTCTTTCCTTTCTTGTCACTGTGACCAGATACCTGGCAACAACAACCTAAAGCAAAAAGGGTTGTTTGGCCTCTGCGTGAGGGTACAGTCTAGCATGTTAGGGGAAGGCATGGCAGCAGATCACAGAAGCAGAGACATGAATAGTGGTGCCTAGCTTCTCCTTTATTTTTTTCCTCCTTTATTCTGTCCAAGCCCCCAGCCTGTGAGATGATGCCTCCCACATCCTGGGTGAGTCTGACCCTCAACCTGCTAAGCCCATCTAGAGACACCCTTACAGAGGTCTGCCTCGACAATCTGGGTGCTTTTAAGACCAGCTGAGCAGACAAGGTTAACTATCCCAGCTAGTTACCACTGCAGTCATAAGCCTGAGATGAGGGCCAGCAAGACGGCGCAGTGGGTAAAAGCAAACTCTCAAACAGATAAAAACACTCACTGCCAAGCCTACCAACCTGAGTTCAATCCCCACAGCTCATAAAGGAGAGCAGTGGCTTCCACAAGATGTCCTCAACCCTTTACAGGCACACTGGGACACACATGTACACACACAGAATAAGACAAAAATAAAGCCTGAAATTAGTGTATTTTTGACTGAGTACCTAAAGCCCGAGTCACTTCCTAGGTTAGAATAATAAAATCTGTAGGCCACAGGTAGTGTGCGAGAAGGTCACCTACCCATCAATAACAGGAGCAAAATGGTGTGGGTCCTGAATAAGTTCCTTCACTGTGCCTCCTGAAGATCTGTGTGAAGACAAGAAAGGCACAGCAAAGGTGGCCACTTGAGAAGGAAGGGATAGGCCTGGGCTGGTGTGCAGAGACAGACAAGCAAGAGCCATGAATTCAAGTCCATTCCCAAGCCCTTCCAGGCTGCTTCCAGAAGAAGTTAAAAACGGCTGATCCAGAAAAAGGCTTGCATTATTTCTAGAGGAGGATTTGACATTCACTAATACTATTAGTTTTGGTTTTGAAGTCTGTGACTTACAGACACTTAACGCTGATTTTCTTTAAGGAATGACTCTCCACCAGAGCTCCTTAAATTCCAGCCATGTTCTTGAGTGTTCATGTTTTCGCTGGAACTATCGATTAGGCAATGTATATATGTAAATAGGTATGTCACTCCATATGCTGGGGGACCCATGGTGCTGCTGGCTGCTTGTTATTTCTGACAGCTGGGCACACTGCTTTGCCTTCCACTCAGCCATTCGAGAAGGAGCACTCAAGTGTCCGAAGTATCAGTGATTCAGTTTAGGGGTCTCCTTCCATGAAAAACACCCCCTCTGGGAAACGGCTTGGCCCTAAGAGAAGGGAGGTATCTGAAAATTCACTGTGTGGTTGATTTCTGTGTTGGTAGCTTTTTTGGAGACCTCAGGGAGTGCATTCCTGAGGCTCCTATACCCCTGACACCTGACATCTAGGGGTATATTTCTTGGGTATAGTGCTCAAGGACCCTGAGACAGAATGTTGGAGATAAGCTTACTCTAAGGGTAATCAATGCTATGAATGGACAAACGGTCCATATGTCAGGTGTTCTGAGGAGATTTCAGGCCTCAGTGCTGTAGACTGACAGCATGACAGGGGCCTGAAGAGGAATCAGGCCCACATGGCAGAGTTAGGTTCCCTTCTCATAGCTATCTGAGGAAGGAAGAAGCTTTGTGCATAAGCCTGGAGCCAGAGTCTCTGATTCCCACCGGCACCCCCATACACAGGTGGCTAGGAAAGGGACAGAGGAGAGAATGTGTGGGATACCAGTAGCCACAGTGGCTCTTTGATACATCTGAACCTACAAACTTACTTCCCCAAGTGAGAAATGCAGGCACCTGGAGATTCACACACAGTGCTCTCAAGAGGGAGCCAGCGTGGCTAGGCAGACAGACAGGAAGGGCAGCTGCAGGGGCCGTGGCCTGAGCACCACTCCGTTGTGGATTCTAACACTACGTCAGTGGGTGCTTGCATACACACTGGATCCTGGACCATGAGCAAAACCAGAGGCACCTCTGTTCATCCAGCTGTATGAAGACAGACAAACCAGTCATACAGAGTGAATGGGTTAAAACAAACAAACAGACAAAAAAAAAAAAAAAAAAAAAAAAAAACTGGGATGTCTTAAAGGAAATGGAGGTACTGTGATCAAAAGGGCCTGAGTTATTTGGCCTTAGAAAAACTACTTCCTGAAAAAGTCAAAAGAACCACTCAGGGCTTGTGGTTTGAATGAGAATGGCCCCCCAAAGGTTCGATGAATATTTGAATGCTTGGTCCCTAGTTGGTGGAACTGTTAGGGAAAGGTTAGGAGGAGAGGCCTCGTTGGAGGAGGTGTGTCACCGGGGGTGGTCTTCGCAGTTTCAAAAGCCCATGCCATGCCAAGTCTCTCTGTGTGGTGCCTGGGGATAACTCTCAGCTTTTGCTCCCTGCCTGCCTGCCTGTCTGCTGCCATGCTCTTGGTCATGATGGTCACCCTGCAAAACTGTAAGCCCCGGATACCCTGTTCCTACAATAAGCCACCTGAAAGGATTTGCATGCTGAGTGCTAAATGGCTCAACACGGGAGGATACAGGCGGAAGAGCTGAAAGGGAAAAAGCAAGTGCCGAGAGATTTGAGAGATTTAAGTTAAACGTGGAAGATCAACCAAGCCGTGGTGGGGAAGGAAGGCTATCGACCTGACCATGACACTCGGAAGTCTTCAGGAAAACAAATCCAGTTCTGGGGCCTGGAGAGTGGCTGAAACATGTATCAGGCAAGCATGAAGACTTGAATTCAAGTCCCCAGAAGCCATACAAAGCTAAAGCGTAGTAGTACAAGTCTATAAACTCTATGACAATATTGGAGATGGAATACCCTAGTGTGCACAGTGGCAGAGGAATGTCTGAGTATCTAGGAGCCCAGCAACTAGCTTGGTGCACACATTGGGCAACTAGAGACCCTGTCTCAAACAGAGTGGAAGGATTGTCTGGTCCCCTCACCTGATCACCAGCTTCATGAAAGCACAGCCCTTACCCATCTCATCTTTTTCTAACCCCAGAGCCTGTCACCAAACTGGCAATCATTCATTG